CTTTCACCTATGACCCATCTTGAAAGTGTTAGATACTGCTTAGAGCAGTGAACTTGAAGTTGTTTGATTTATTTATTACTTCCTCGGTATGCACAAATTTCTACAGATTTTTTTCCAGCCTGTACTGTGAAAGGTAAACATATTAATGTGTTCTGTCTAAACTTCAACCCTTAAAATCAACTTACTTAAAACTACAATGACATTTCTTCTAATTATGAAGTTAATTATTTTTCAGTTTTCCACTCTGATGATGAAATTAGAAAAAAATTCAAAAATATCTGTAATTAAAGATTTTTTAAAAATTACAATGATTCTAATATTTATTATATTTTAATTTCCACCTCATGAATCATTGTAAAGATCTAGTATCATCACGTTTTCTTTCCAAACAGTTAATATCATACTGTTTTTTTTTAACTTCATTGTATTATATATTATGAATTATATATTGGGAGAAATCCATGGAACAGTAATAAATGCATTTTCAACTTGGTACCAGTTTCATACTGTGTTGTGTATATGATACATTTTCCTGTACAACAGCTTAGGATTGAAAAAACTAAATAATCCTATATTGTTGTGCCTGAAGATTAAATGAAGGGTAGTTTAAAAATGTATTTAACAGAACCCAAAACGAGACTTGGAGTAGGAAGTTTAATTTCATGTTAGTTGAATGTAATCGATTAAAAAACCTTACAATTAATCAATTATAAAATTCCACTAATTGTCCAGTTTTAGTTGTGATGAAACTGTTGTTCAGTAGTACTAGTCATATTGTGAGGAGAGTCTTACAAGCTGATGAAAACTTCTTTGTTGGATTACTAGTTGTATAAAATACTGTAATGTTCATGTGAACTAACAATATTAGATATTGTCGAACTACTAGTTTCTTTCACAAACTTTTGGTATTATCCAATAAACTTCAGAACTGAAGTCTTTATGTGATTTTGTGCTACTGACTGGTGTGTGAGATGTAGTGCTTCCAAAAAGAAACCCATGATGGTGAGATAAACCTTACTCAACAAGGGAATGAATCAAACAATTTTTACATAGAAGGCTTCAGTTCTCCAAACTTTGAGAATGTAGGTGAAGACTTGCTAAAGATGAGATGGAAATACTTTTACAATCTAAGTCTCAGAAGATATTCCAGAAATATAAAGCCAACAACCAGGTGTGAAGAATCCTGTAACCATAGTGTAAGTTCATCCTCTAGCAAATCACAACACAAAAATAAAAAGCTTCACTTACAACCAGGTTTGAAGAATCCTGTAACCATAGTGTAAGTTCATCCTCTAGAATATCACAACACAAAAATAGAAAGCTTGACTTACAACCAGGTTTGAAGAATCCTGTAACCATAGTGTAATTCATCCTCTAGAAGATCACAACATAAAAAAAAAGCTTGATAGATAAGAAGAGAATCTTAAAACTGTCCACTATATGGACAGTACACCCAGATACTTGTTTAAGAAAACATGTAACTTGCAAAATAGTACCCAACCTTTTTAAAGCATAAGCAAAGCCAAATCATCACTAAATAACAATTAAGACAAAAGATGGAAGAAAGGTTAAGCAAAAAGTAATGTTGAAGCATTTGTTTAAATACATTTCCCAAGGAAAGAGAATGAATATATAACAAGTCTAAAAAAATGTATAATGTTGATAAGCAGAAGTTGAAAATTGTAAAAAAAAATGCCTAACACAAAAACACAGTGGAAAAAACTAGAGATCAAAAGTTCACTAAGGAATCAGAATAAGACCAACAAAAAAGAAACTGTCTCACTATGACATCTAATGAATGAAAGATTGACTCAAACACGGGATAAATAATCAGTGTCAGCTTCTCCTGTAACATCCAGAAATTTATTTTTAATGTATGTAGGTATAAAGAGAACAAATGATTAACAAAGGTGGCACTTTCTTAAAGATTTAAGACAACTATTCAGCTATGAAGTATAATAGCATGTTTTTGTATCAACTACATGAGGCATTGGGATAGCTCACAAATAAGTCTTAAGTGAAAGGTGATATAGGGAATATGATGCCAAAGGTTCAAAGGGTGGATGAAATAAGACATGAACCTCCAAGATATTCCAGTTAGGAAGCTGGAAAGAATGCCGAGGACGGATAACCCGAAAAGGTTTCAGAAGCAAAAACAAAACCAGGGACTTAAAAATTTATGTCTTCCAGAAAAACAAAGAGTAGCTGACAAAGCTGCCTTATACTGAGAAATGGATGAAGGTGCCAAACCTTTGTTGAATAACCATGTCAGAAATTGAAAAGTATATGGCATAGTGGACAAGAAGGATTAAAACCATGTATGAGAGACCACTGACGATAAAAAAACCATTTCCATTGATAAACATCTAACAAAGAATGCTGAACGGACCACGTTAATAAAAGCTGCAACTGGAGAGGTCAATCCCCGACATCATGCAACAGACCTCATAAAAGAAAAGTGTGAAACCAGAGAATGGTGATCGCCAGATGAAGAATGTCCAACCGAGGCTAACATAAGAGGGATGACCAGAGAGGAAGCAGAAGAGGTTGGCACTCCTGAAGATACTAAAGGAGTGGAACCAAGGCTGTCCCAGCCAATATGGCACCATCAGAAGAACTCAACAGGATGAGGGGGCAAATAAGTGAAAGAACCTTGAATAACAGATGAAACGGAGGGAACATATAAAGATGTACACCCGTCCAATCCTGGCTGAGAGTATCTATGCCCAAAGCCAGAGGGTGAGGGACAGGAGACTGGTCATTCCAGCGAGTGTAGAAAGCATTGATCTGAAGCATCTCAAAACAAGAACAGATCCAACAAAAAACTTGTAGATGAAGCATCCATTCTTTGAGAAGAACTCTGTTGGGATGAGATAACTGATTAGCCACTAAATTCATAACACCTAGAACATGACAAGCAAGGAGAACAATCTAATGATTGTGGGTCCAAAAGAGAAGACCCAATGTCTGAAAACAAAGAGACCTGGAGTGAGTGTCCCCTTGCATTGAAATGTAGAAAACCATAATGGAATTGTATGGGTGAAGCATTACAATTCAAAAGCTCAAGACAAAACTTGTTGAACTGCTAGAAGCTCTAAAAGATTGATATGAAGAGAAGATTCCTCTTCTGTCCAGAGACCCTTGAATTCTATATCCCCATACCAAGCATCCCATCCCTGGAGAGAGGCATCCATGAAAAGACATCTCTGGAAGTGGGGGAGAGGAACACCTATAGTAGTGTTGACTGTTCAGCCATCAGTTATGATAGAGCAGGCAGGAAGCCAACAGAGTCACCAGACAATCCAGTACATCTGTGCAAATGTTCCATTGGTCCTGTAACAACCATTGAAGGAAATGCACTTTGGCCTGACCCAGAGGAATGAGTGATTCCAAGGATATCCTCATCCTCAAAAAGATAGGGAACTGCACATGCTGGTGGAAAAAAAAAGAGACAACTGTATGAGAAGAATGGCCCATTCCTTGGCCTAAAGGTGTAGAGGAGAAATTTGAGCCCAACTGAGATGTGAATTGAAAAATACCCCTATATGGATGAGGTAGTGTGTGGGAGTAAGAATAGACTTCTCCAATTTGATGAGAAACTCAGCTCTTGTAGTTTAGGACAAAAGGGCTTGAGTGTGAAACTCTGCCAACTGATGGGAAGAAGCAAGAAGAAGTTAGTCATCCATATAATAGTGAGAGTGAATGCCCAATGAGTGAAGATGACATGAAAAGGATCTGAGAATCTGGCAAAAGACATTTGGAGCAGATGCAAGGCCCAAATGGTAGAGCATGAAACTTAAAAATCTGTCTCTTGTGCACAAAATTGAGATAACGACACAAAGATATCATGTTAGGAATATGAAGATAGGCATCAGCGACATTGAACTTTGTCATTCATAGACCAGGTGCAATGTGCCACTGGAGGGAAAGAAAAGACTCCATGGTAAATTGAGGAGGCTGGAGTAAACAACTGAGATGAGAAAGGTTGATGAAAGAGCACTAATTGCACATCTTCTTTGGTACTACAAACAAATAGGAATAAAAACCCTTGAGAAAGGAGTCAACACACTCTATGGCCTCTTTGTGTAGAAGATCCTGGATGGCTTGTGTTCAATTGACTGGATGAATGATCCTTGGGGAGAAAAAAGATAACCTGTATGAGAGACACTGGAGAAGGAGACATGAAATGAAGGATCAATCCTTTCATAAGAACCCGAATGACCCACTGATCAGTGCAGAAGGTCTCCCATACAAACACAAACCATCTGAGTCGAGCCCCCACAGGACCAGACCTCATAGGGTAGTCACCGATGCCATTGTTGGCACTCCACGTGAGCAGAGGATGCTTGCAGATAAGTGTGTAATTTCCCCTGTATTCTGATAGAATATGGAGCTGAAGCAGGAGGTCAGGAAGTCATCTGGTAGAAGACCAGGAAAGGTGAGAGGCCAGTGCTGAAAAAGAAGAGTGGAGATGGGCCACATCCATCCAAGATTCCATGGAATCTGGAATATCTGCAAAAATCAAATGTCTGAGAAAAGGAACTTCTCTGAGATATCTCAGGACCAAAGAAGGAAGCTGAATGCCCTCAAGAAAAGTATCTCTCTCGAAAAGATCCTAGCGACAAATCAACCAAGAGATCAAAAGCTGATAACCTTACCAAATTAGAAGTTAATAAATGACTAAGATCCTCTGGAAATTGAGTAGGATCCCTGTGATAGGCCCCCAACAACAGATGCAAAGAAGATAAAAAATGCAAAACTGTTGTAAGGGACAGACGAATCTGGGAAAACTGAGTCAGGTTAAGACAAATAGTGGTATCAATCCTAAAACCCTAAATAGGAAGAAGAGGATCTAACCTCTGAGAATTCAAATATGGGTCCTCCAAGTGATGGAAAGCTAAGGCATGCTGATCAGATAAATGGCAGCACCCTCTTGCAACTGATCAGCAAATTTCTGAGCATGTACAGCAATGTGTGGTAAAGGTAATCAGCTGAATGACTTCCTCCAACAAATAAAGAGAACAGTAGTGAGCCACAGGAGAAAAGGCTCAAGACATAACAAACTTGATGTATTAGTTGCAAAAATGATGTAAGAGGCAAAATATCCATCCAAGGCTCGTGATTAGCTGTCTGAGCAAACAAAGGAGCCAGACAACTAGGGTCTAAATTCTCACCAGCCCATCCCTGATCCCCCACAAACTCAGCCTTTGAGTTGGAAGAAGAAGAAACATCAGACCTCATGTAAGACTCCACTTCTCTGTATATGAGGAATTGGACATCCCCTACAGAAAAGGGGCCTTTCCCTGATGCTCAGGCAATGCTAGACTCCAGAGGTAGCAGAGAAGGAGCACTCCGTGTCAGAGATGTGAATGTGAGAATTCATATCCAAAACATATCAGAATTTTTTATTTTTTATGAAATAAAGAAATAAGACAATAAACTCAAACTCCAAAAAAGATGGGTCGAAACAAATTGTCCAAAGTGTAGGTATAACTAGTTATACAACAAGTAAAAGAAACCTGCAGCAAGTATGTAAAACCATCATCATAATGTTCTGTCATCAAGAAAATTGAATAGGAAGTAATAACGAGAAGCATATATACGGATCAGGGATAGAGGGCACATTGACATAGGTGGAGAGAATCACAAGATTTAACTTGCTATGAGCAATATAGTGGTGTATAAAGGCTGGAGCAATCGAGGTAAGATTCATACCAATGCTTAGATCAGCAGAGAAGAGAAACTTTTGTTGAGATAAAGCTAAAGTGTGAGAGGAGGTAAGTGTGTTTTGGAATACTCATTGATAAGTTAACTGATGAACACTTTTTCAAATTCATTGTAAGATACTTACAAGCTGGAAACATGTAAGTGGGTAACTTGTCAAATAGGCTTAAAATTACTAGTATATTTTCTAAAACAAAAATAAAGGATGATCATATACACAAATTTTCTATAAAAAACACACCTTCAGTTTATTCAATTCTTCGTCAGTATCTATGCTCTTTACTGGCTTCTGTGCTTCCTTTACAACAACAATTTCATGAGTTGTGGAACCAGCATAAGAGTGAGGTCGAGGGGGTTTTGGTGATGGACGAGGTGAAGGTGTTGAAGTTCGAAGTCCTTGCCCTTGTATCTTGCTGGGTAACTTTGGAGAGTCTGAAGTATAACATAAAAAGGAGTACATACTTTTCAAATAATTATGACTCTTTTGAAAGGCTTTCAATCCAAAGTATCAATTTTAAACACTGCTTAAGGTATATTTTAATTATAATATTTTTTGAAGGAATTTCACGATATGCGCATATAAAGTTATAATGTGACAGACCATGTGAGCCTTTGAAAAGGAAATTCACAAAATTTAACAGCAATTAACACTGCTTTCGACAGGGCTGGTGCCAGTACTCTCTCCAATCTAATGCTATCCTTTAATCACAATTTTTGCATCTCTATCTGAAATAGTAACATTATTATTTTTCTAATACCACAGACATGAACTTCATGGGAGCATTAAGTGAAAAGTGTGTTTAGTTCTCTAAACGTTAACAACAATAACAATTACTTTCAAGTATACATAAGGCTTACTCAAAATTCAGTTAGAACCATGTTTCCCTAAAAAAACATTACAGGGTGAAGTAAGCCCAGCAATTAAACCTACTTGTTCTCAACAGCGTGATAAAGATTTACTGTACTTTTAGTACTTAAGTTTTGGTAAGTGAAATGAGTGTGAGATAACATAGACAAACCTTTAAGAATTCAGTAAGAACATTATGGAAACAATGAATAAAATGATTATGAAATGTAACTATTATGGAATTGCTTTTCCTTTACTGTACCAAAATGAATTATACCAGAACACAGTTGTGTGTTGATAGTTTACAAAGTGAATAGCTGTTAACTAACCAATCAAATAGTGCCACACCAGCATCATACCTATAAAAGTATGGCTAATCATACTATCCCCAGCAGGAGTGTGGTGAATGCACTCATGTCTTCCAGGACAGAAATTCCATATGACAAATGTGTAGAAATCACAATTTTTGTCTAGTGAAAGCCACTGCATGCAAAAAATGGAGTTGAAATTTCAACTTTCATTAAGAGTCAACAGAAAGTTTGAACTCAAACTGTTGATGATGTCAAACAATGGGATGAGTTAAGCTAGAGAAAAGTGCTCTTTACAGATAAATCCAAATTTAAATTGTTTGACAACAATCAGCAATAGTTTGTTCATTGGCTGAGAGGACAACTATATCAGAGTCAACATACAGTAACAACAGTGAAGTATGCTGGGAGACAAATACAAGTGTTGGCTGCATCTCGGCCAGTAGTGTCAGGTTTACACAAAACTGATAGTACCATGTATGCTGACAAGTACAAACAAATTTTCATCCTCCATGTCATTGCCTCAGGAGCAAGACTTGTTCAATAGTGATCCATTTTCCAACAACACAGTGATCACAAGCATGAAGCAAATGTGGTGAAATAATAACTGGATAAAAGAAGAGTTCAACAGAACCCTCACATTCATGGCAGGGCCTGCAAAAGTAGTATTAAGGCTGTATTTGCTTATAGTGATTCTGAGAACGTGAAAGAGCAATGAAACATCTTGGTTGAATTGTTTAGAGTAATCCAGGACATTTTAAACACTGTTTTACTAACTATTATGGTGTGAACTCCATATTTTAATGTGACAATAATCAATTATATCTATCATAAGATAAAAAAAATAAACATTTTCCTTACCTGAAAATGTATTTCCAATAGATACTCATCCCTTCATACAAAAAAGCTTGATTCTTCTTGCATCTGCCAATGAGACTTGCCTGCCACTAACCTTGAGCTAACTTCCATCTAAAAAATTACGTTTAGTGTGAACTGCACTGGTACATGACATCATCATGCAATAATAGCCCCCACACCAATAGGAGGGCAACACAACCTCCTTGTGCAGTAAATCCCCTTGAGCACTTGCACTTGAAATAATTTCACTATTAAGAAGGCAAGAAGAAAGTGCACCAGAAGTGTGAGAAGGGGAGTATCAATCACAAATACATTTTCAGGTAAAGAAAATGTTAACTTCTGAGACAATATCTCTTCACACAGAACAGCTAGAATCCCACATTGCAATGGAAAAGGGGCTGGTGTAAACATTAAACCTAGATGAGTTCTCTTCAGAAAGTGCCAGAAGGTAAAGCCTATAAAATGTGACATTCAATGGCAGGGACTTCATTGGGGCCCACCTTTGAGAGATAGCATCTCATCTCAACCAGGGTATGTTCTTTACCCAGAAAGAAATAGAGGGAAATGGAAAAGAACCCCAAGTCTCACAGGGATGGGCAGAATTTCATGATGACCAACCGAGCACCCAAACATAAGAGGTCTGAGAGCCAAGAAATGTAGTGTGGTTAGGGCACAATCAGACCTTACCTCACCTGGAAAGACTCTCACTGTGGGAGGTGGACACACAAGCTGTTTGAGGCGTGACCCACACTACACAGTGTCATAACTTCCCTACTTCCTACCAGTGTTGTGCACAACCATTTAGGAACTCTCCAAGATCAACTAGTCCAGCAGACAGGAACTGGTAAGAGGCAAGGGTCTCCTGTGTTCCACTTGAAGAAAGGAAGGAAAAATTATGGTGGGAAGACCCACAGAAGTTCTCCGATCCCCATTGGACACCTATTGGAAAGGTCTTTTACTAGAGACAGTGCAATGGGTGACCACAAAACCCTATTTATAAAAGCTGGTAAAAAACAGGAAATGGAGTAAATTTTAATACTATGAGAACACCTTTAGTGGTCTTGCATAACATCCCATCTAAACAGTGGGCATTGGTAGAGCCATGGTAAATGGGTTGAGTACTTTCCTTTACCCCGGGCCTAGTGTGGATTCTGGGAAATAAACGTACCCTGGGAGGTAACACCAACCACTTGGCAGAATTCTATAAAATGGAAAAAGGTGCTGAAAAAGAACTTACCATTCTCAAAGACAATATGCAGTTTCATTGGAGAACAGTGACTGGAGGGAGTTGAAATCCCCACAATAGACAAAACAGGCAGATAATAAAAGCAATGGTAGATGGACATGTGAAGAATCATCTAAATGCCAGTCTTAAGAATCTCATCCAAGGTCAGTGAAAATGAAATGCGAAAGTGAGATAGTTGTTAAACCTGATACAAAGAAATTGGAAAGAATGATCCCATTCTCGAGCAGCCAGTCTTAGGAAGAAAGGCCTGGTCTGAATAGAGGAAGAAGTACATGAGTAAAAAAGAATGCAGAAGCATCAATGACATATACATCCAAAAGACAGTGACCACAGGCAAGGAGAAGAAAACATGGCTTCAGAGAAAGAAGATATAAGGAGCATGAAGCCAACAGCTCAAACAGAGCAAGAGTAAGAGCTTGCAAAGCCCCACCAAAGACCCAGTCAAGCAAGGGAGTACAATGAGTGGGTCAGTGAAGAAAGAAGGATTAGAACAAAGTGGAGAGGACAAGAGAAGAAAAACCTGACAGTAAAGGGAAAGGTAAAATGTAGTTGATCAAGCAACCTGAGAACCAGTAATAGTGGACACTGACAATCCATGGTTGAAAAACCATGTAAAAAAGGCCAAAATGTGGGCCACAAAAGGATGGCTCAGAGAAAGGGAGAGGCTGATGAACTAACAGTGAAAAACCTGTCATTCCTGTTGATAAACAATCAGTTGAAGGATGATAGGTATGGGAGAGTCCAGTCCTGCAGGCAATGAGCCAGACAATTCCCACATGTGAAGATAAATAGACAATGTCCCTGGATGAGAGATATGTCATTGGAGTAAGAGAGTATGGGAACAGGGCAGAGGAAAATGTGGATCAGATGCTAATCAACCAAGCAAAGTAAATCACAGACAGGACCTGACAAGGAGTGCCACATCTCAAAGCAAGGATACAAGGGAGAAGAGGAAGATAGGCATAACAAAAAAGGTGAGACCAGCCCTGACTGAGAATATCAACTGCCAGAGCTGAAGGATGAAGAACTGGGGATCTGAAGAGGGGAGGGCTGGTGTTAAGAGTAGCAAAGGCATTGATGAGGGGTGTGCCCAATAAAAAAATTTGAGGTTAGAAACCCTATCTGCCACCAAGCTCAGATCCTCTGGCACACAACAAGCCATGAAGCAAACTCAATGGAAATAAGCCCAAAATAGCAGGCCCAATGTGAGGAAGCAAAGAATCCTGGAATGGGTACCTGCCTGACAGTTGATATAAAAAACAACTCTGAAATTGTCAGAGTGGATCATGACCAATTCATTCACAAGAAGAGGGAGGAAATGAGAAAATGCCTAACATATGGTGAGAAGTTCAAGGGCATTGACTTGCAGTAAATGTTCCTCTGGAGCCCTCATGCCCAAAATCATGTAGTTGTTTAAAGAACACCACTCCCCAGAGACAGAGAGGTGTCTGTGAAGAGATGGAGATGTGGTTGACAAAGGGATGCCAACCATGGTGTTGGCATGGTCAAGCAACAAAGACAAGTCCTTGAGAAAAGGAAAAGGACACTTGAGGACAACGGATCCCCAGAAAGTTGGCACTGGTCCCAAAATGTCAACTGGAAGAAGCATTTGTGTGTGTGGCTTGAATGAATAAGTGTTTCAAGAGAAGCCAGAGTTTCCAAAAGCAAAAGAGCCTTGTGTGCAGGGTGTGAGAGACATGCACAAACCTAGGTGACAAGACATTCCACTGTTAATAAAAAGTATAGAAGGCTGAGCTCAACTGAGAGGGGAATGGAAGAACATACCCAGATGTAACAAATATAGGGTGAGCATGAGAAATGACCTGAAAGGTTTGACAAGCCACCCCAGGCAAGCAGCCTCCTGCAGAAAAATGCAGTTGTGAGAAAAGGAATCCTCTTGATAAGGGGTGAGGAAAAACCAATCATCCATGTAATAATGAAACCACAGCTCCAATATGTGAATGAGGTGGGCAAATGCCACATGACTTGAATAAAAACATATGAAGCAGATGCATTGCCAAAAGGAAGAGTACAGAACTAGAAGACCTGATCCTGATGGACAAAACAAAGAAAACATCTGGAAGATGGGTATATTGGAATGTGTAAAAAGGTGTCCAAAACATCAATCTTGGTCATCCACAGTCCAGATGAAAAGAACCACTGAAGAGGAAAGAAACCCTTCATACACAGTGATGAATAGAAACGAGTTGAGAGATGACAGATAGATAACCAGACTCCAGTCTTATTGGAGACAACAAAAAAATGAGAGTAACAACCAGGTGTAGGTAAATACCCCTCAAGGGTATTCTTGGTCAAGAAATCTGAGACCATGTCCTCAAAATGCTGAAGATAAAGGGGAACAGAAGGAGGAGAAGGAAAGGAAATGGAAAAGGGAAGGAGGTGAAGAGACAGAGTATATAGGATGTGAGTGAGAACCCATCTGTCAGACAAAAATGGAGACCAAACACTATTGAAGAAAGATAGACAGGCTTCCACAGGGCCAGACCGACAAAGTAATCATCAATAAGAGGAGCAACAACCTTTAAATTGGGAAATAAAGGGACAGAAAGCAGAAGGAGGCCAAGAAAGGGAAACATAGATTCAGCAAGAACAGAATGGTGAGGTTGAGAAAGACAAGAAACCATAATAAACAATGAGGACTAATGCCACGCTGCCTCAAGCTCAGTCTCTATTTGGTCAGTAACACCCCCAAAGACCTTAGGGCAAAGAAATGGAACACAATGAAGATCACAGAGAACAAGCATGAGGAAGGCATACATTAACTAAGAGAGCATTCAGTACCAACAGTAGAGGAACCAAAGTAAGGAGATATAGAGCAGACGAAGTATTAGCCAATGTGGTGAAATAAAGAGAACAGACTTCTCCAGAAAACTCCTCCTGAACAACATGAAATGCCTCAGATAAAAGATGAAGTGACATGAGGTAATGCAAGAGACTGATGAGAAAGAGATGAAAGTATGAAAATTGGGTACTTGAAAGGGAAATAAAAGCTTAGGAGTCCACCCCCAAACATATAAAAGAAACTGGGAATCAAGGAACAGAAAGAAGAACATCCATAGGCCAGTACAAGAGTCAAGTAGATGAGGAGGATGCACATGTTAAAATGAGAGTGGAGATGTTTGAAAAAAAGTCTGCATGGACCCTAATGTCAGGTAAAAAAATGAAAACGAAGTAATCTTGAGCATGAGTTTCATGCAGTAAAGCATGAGATAAATCAAAAGATAAAGGAGAAAGAAAAGAACATACCTTCAAAATCATATCAAAGAAAAGTTTCAAAGGGTGAGGATGTTCCATCACAGACAAAGCTGAGACTAAAGCAAACCCAGTTGGGAAAGATAGCCTATCAAAATCATCATCATGTTCAATAGGGGAGAAGAAAAATCAGCTGAACAGATGGGAGGAGGAGGTCAGTGTGCATGAAGGAACCCATGAAATGTTGAACAATGGGCATCACATCCTCCACAGACAATGACTCCCAGAAGCCACGTTAGACACAGTTTTCATGGTAGGAACATCATCATTATCACAAGACAACAAGAAAGTTACCATTACTTGAAAATTCATAATGGATAAACAGGAAAAAGAAATTATTTTTTAGTTTAGTTAGAAAAGAAATCAGTGAAACTTTCATAAATCTCACATAATTGATTAATAATTTTCAAAACACATTCATTCTAGACAATACTGAAAAAAAGAATGAAGTTATTTCAAGTGAAAGTACTTCAGGGGAATTATTGTGCAAGGAGGTTGTGTCACCCTTCTGTTAGTGAAGGGCTATCATCACGTGATGATGTCACCATACACTAGTGCAGTTTACTTTAAACATGATTTTTAGGTGGGAGTTAGTTCAAAGCTAGTGGCATGCAAGTCTCGTAGACAAACACATGAAAGATCAAGCTATTCTGTGTGTGGAGGTGACACAATCTTCGATGTATGAGGTTTATTGCATTTTTAAACGTTAAATTCCTTAGTGTATAATAATACAATAAGCCTAATACAACTGTTTTATGACAAACATAACTGATTATAATTTAAAAACAGCTTTCACATAATACCAATTATTTTTCTAACAAATGGTTTACATAAATAGCATATTCTGACCAATATAATTTTGATGCATTTCAGTAGGTCTGATAATCTCTGCTATTGAATAAAAAATGGTAATTAACAATGGACGGGGCAGACACAGTGTGGCTGAAATACCATTTGATGCCATTCTTCTCGAAAAAAGCGTAAGAGACTGAATAAAGAATGTAGTGTTTAAAATTAAACAACATAATAAGTCTCATACTATTGTCTTATTAGAAATATTATAATACTTTGCTATCCCAAGACAAGGGTGTTTCAATGCAAATAAACCTGGGAATAGCTAAGTGCACATTATTTTTTTTTTATAATGATGTGAATTAAAAATGACTAAGTATTAAAATTAAATCTAATTTTTACCACTTTAAAAACTTAAGAAATAATTTATAAACATTCAATTTCTATCTATATTTAAAAAAAAACTGATTTCATTGCTAACAGATAAAAGCTTTTATGTAACTAATAAAAATTAAATTTCACCTCCTATTGGCCGATTAACTGCATAGGATATATAAGGAATATCTGAATCAGAGCTTATTGAAGGCCGTGGTGAAGAACTTCGTCCTGCCTGTCCAGTAGGTACACCAGCACGTGACTTGTGAGCTCTGGACCTTGAGTGACTACTCTGTTCAGATCCCATTTTCAAACCTGAGAAAAATACTGTCAAACCATTCCTTTAGTTTAAAATATGACAAAAAGGTCAATGTCACAACATGGCAGGATCATATACAAACAAATTAAAACTAAAGCTTATTTTAGTTTTATCTGCCCTCATATATATGTAGTTCATTTCCCGTTATTTTAGTATCTTCCATTTTATTGTATGGTTTTCACTAACCTGATGTGCTATTGCAGATATATTAGTATTAGAGTTTTATAAGATTATTGTGCTCCTGAATTCTGACTTTTGTTGGGTTTTTTTTCATCTCCAAAGTATTGGAGACTACTTTTGAAAAGGATGTTCTAAATGGTGTTTTTGCTTTCCATAGGTGGTTTGGTGTGTACAAATAGTGATCATATTGTGCTGTGGCTACTTAATACTGACTTTAGACTATCTGCATATCCTCTGCATTTTCAGAGAGATATCTCATATAGAACTTCCCTAAAGACAGCAGCAGATTAGAAGCTAAAATGTACGTTATATGACTGTATGTCTTAGATTCTCTTCATCCTTATTCTTGGTGTTTATGTTCTTTATTTACTTTGATAAATATAGCACACCAGCCTTTCTAACAAGACCCAGGATTGAATCACATCTATCACACGGTCCTTTGCAGAACTTCAATGAAGACAACAGCAGATAAGTTAACTAAATGGATAAAAGAGTGGCTGAATGGAATTAAACAGAGGGTTGTTAGAAATGGAGTTCAGTCAAACTGGATTAATGTCACAAGTTGGATACCTCAGGGCTCAGTCTTTTGCTTTTTTTTTTATTTACATCAATGACACAGATGAAGGAATGGTCAATAAATTACTTAAATTTGTTGATGATATTAAGGTCTTGGGTGTTGCTAGCAGTGAAGAGGATGCTGCTGCGTTACAAAGGATTTAGAACATTTAGTGAGTTGGGCAAATAAATGGAATATGGGATTTAAATTATAATAAATGCAAGATAATGCATGTAGGTTATCATAATTTCATTATAATTTGGATGGGAATAACCTTAACAGTGTCATGAAAGAAAGGGATTTTGGTGTAATGGTCTATCAGACTTTTAAACCATCCAAGCAGTGTGTGTTGTTTCTAATGGTAGGTCAAATAGGGTTTTAGGTTGTATCTACAGAAATACTGAATACAAGTCTAAGGAGGTTATAATTTCATTGTATAGGTCACTGGTTAGGTCTTGGGCTCCTTACTTTAGAAAGGACATTGAATTGTTGGAAAGGGTTCAGAGAAGGGTTACTAGAATGGTTCCTGGGATTGTCATACGAGGAAAGATTAACATCTCTGAAATTGTTTTCTCTTGAACAAAGAAGAGTTAGGGGGGTTGATTGAGGTGTTTAAGATTGTAAAGGGAATTTTTTATAATGTTGACGCATCATATTTTTTTATACTAAATGGCGAGAACAACAGGACTAGGAGACAAATAAAAATTTGACAAGGTAGGAGTCATCTTCAGCTAAGACAGTTTCATTTTTCTAGTAGGGTGGTTGGCCTTTGGAATAGGTTGCCTTCAGATGTTATGGAAGCAGTAAATTTAAGCGAGTTTAAGAAAAACTTGATAACTATATGAGTGATAAAGGCTGCCTTTAAGATTTTTTTTTATTTAATAGTTTTAGTTTAGTTTAGAGGAAGAGATAGTCAAGACAGACCAACAGCTCCCTTGTTGTCCCTAAACATTATGTTATTAGTAGCCCAAATGTAATATATAAACAATTAACATCAGTAATACTACAGAAAAATTAGTAAATAATTAATAATTATAATTTGGTGATCATATAAGCCACTAACCATGACAACAACCAATATCTGATTACCATAAATACTGCTACCATTAAATTTCATAAGAATAGGGTGAAGGGAGCTCATGAGCTTATTAAAATATATATTGCATGCTCCTTGACCATTGCCACAATTGAAAAACGAAAAATTCCATACCATTAATTTAAGTAGTCAATATAACTGCTATGGGCATGCAATCAGTATCATCAAGCTTTCTGTCCACAATACTAAGACAATTCTCATAAATAGACCTTCAGCTAGCTCTGCCAGTTATTAGCTCTTATACTACTTATCCACATTAATGAGGAGAACATTGAAATACCCACCAGTACATGAAGTTAGACACACCTGATTCATGCTTAAGCATTGTTCACCTAAATATATTTTGTTTGTTTCTAAACAGTGATACAATAGTCTTATATTACCATAAGATTATTTTACATGATACAGTTTTATCAAAAATATATCTAATCATAATCATTCTCAATTCTGAATTTCAAAGACCTACATGGCTGCTTTAATATGCAATTACATATCTATACTGTTTCTAGAAGTAAACAACACCAATAAGGCAGCTGTTATATTGCTGAAATTTTTAAAAATGAAAAATATTCATTAAGAATTATAAAAACCGGTCTTTGAAGATTCAATCTGCAGATTGTTTCATTAAAAAAGTTGAAGAAATGATATGATATGAGGATAGTTGTATGTCCTGTTAGTTTTTTAAAGCTTCATTTGTCACAGATAATTGCCCTTCTTTTACATGGGTTCAATTAACAATTTACTCAACTGCTACAAATGCCATAACTTTTTTTTTCTAATTAACAAAAACTAAAATTCAAAGTGATATAGAATGTACTATTGACTTTGAGATTTTATAAATTCAGAAATTTCCATTGATTTTAAAATTAAAAGTTAACAAAAATTATAATGAAAGATAACTACTTCAAAGGTTAAATTTGGCAATGCTTTCTGTGTACCCATCGTTAACATCTTAATGGTTAATAAGTCAAATGAAGTTTGAAAGTCAAACAAAATGTGATTAGTCAGTCATGGATTACAAAAAGTGTAATACAACTGAGTGAAGAAGAGTTTAAAATACATACTCTTACAGTGAAATCTAAAAAAAAAATAAAGTAAAAACTAAGACAAATAGACCAGGTGAGTTTCAATTCTATAGTCTATTCTCATGTAACTTCTACAAAATATACCAAATACTAACTGTAAGTTTAAACCAATTACAGAGTTTCTGAACCACTTGACGGTAGTTGTTCAGCTTAGCTAAAATTTCGTAATTTAAATTATGGAATGGGGGCTCCATCACATATTGTAACCCTAGGAATAGGATCAATATGTGACTGAGAAATAGTGCTAAAATAATAATACTAGTGTTATACAATTATAAAGAATCAGCATTCACAGTGTTAGGCTGATACTGTTATCACAAGATTTGGCATGGGCATGACAACCACAGATATAGACTGGGATGATGCAGGAATTATATAAACAGGCTGTGAATTTTAAAAGTATGATAGCATTAAGTGATTTGACAAAAGATTATGCCTGTGGAATACAAATTAATTTGCTCTGTTTTTCTATTACTATTAGTTCTAACATATCAACTGCATATTTAATTAAATATATTACACTTACAGGTAAAAAAAAAAAAAGAGTTAAATATTGAAACCGAAACTGTGAAAGCAAAAAGGCGAATGTGCAACAGTTAATTATAATACTAATAGTAATACACAATATAGCTGTTAATGTTTTGTCAGTACTCTCACTCAGTATTACATAGTTGTAATTCAACACGTATTATTAATAATAATAATTAATATTATTATTACTATTACTGATATTACTGTTTAAATTATAGTATTAATATTAGTATTAGGCTTATAAGTTATAGTTATACCTTAGTTTACTTAAGTTAAACTTAAAAGGAACTGAAGAACATAGTCTTAAACTAAATCTAATCCAAAATTCAGGATCTAGATTTGCTTTTAGAGTTATATATACATACTTGTTTACCTGACCTACAGCCTAAACTAGACAGTAAAGCTTTAAAAATATGATTCCGAGATATATAACTTACTAGTTGAGCTATTTCGAATCCTCTGGCATCAAAACACTCTTAGCGACATCTCTTGCCCTTCTTTAATGGATATATTAGTAAAACATAAGGATTTAGAATTGACTTCCGATAAAATTTTATGTATGTGTTATTAGTATTAAATAGTAAATTCAGCACGTAGATATACTTTCACAATATCTTTCAAATACATATATATATATACAAATAATTAGCTACAAAAGAAAACACGTTATATTATTCAGAATAAAATAAACATTATTTAATTCTAAAAATGTTTATTGTTGTTTTGTGTAAAGGCCTCCCAGTGGCACAGCGGCATGTCTGCGGACTTACAACCCTAGAAACCGAGTTTTGATACCCGTGGTGGGCAGAGCACAGATAGCCCTTGTGTAGCTTTGTGCATAATTAATAACAAACAAACAAACAATAATATCTTAGTGTAAAGATACACAATGAACTATCTGCGCTCTGTCCACCTTGGGGAATCGAGCCTCGAATTTTAGCTTGGTAAGTATGTGACTTATCGCCGATCCACTGAGGGAAATGACATATAAACCAAGTGTGGTATTTCCAGGTTGAGCGGATTTCGCTTTGAGCGACAAGATATGTCGGCTAAATAATAGGAGATTCCACCAAGATATTTATCACGAAGTAATTCTGAGTTATTTTGAAATTGTATATGCATATTTGTTTATCTCATCTATAACCTCGTTATTGATCATTCCAGTTCAAACATAAAGGTTATAGCCTCGAGATATCACCTGAACTTACTACTGGAGAACACTCCTGTCTATATCCAAACACAAAATGTACCTGTACATACTTACATAACTCATTATCAAGGTTTGTTCCAGACCGATTAAACCTCACATTACTTAATTAAACCAACAACGTCAGATTTGCCTAAAGCAATTACTACTTGTCATTATCAATCAAAGACAAGTCAGGTTATAACTTTGAAAACTCAACTGACCTACCATAGGAGGACGCTCTGATTATTTGCACACATAAAGTGTAATTGCACATATCTCCAATATGGGACAAATATCTAATATATATATATATATATATTAAAACCAGAAGGTAGGAAATGCACATTATGCCTGCATGCCATACCTTTCTCCCCTTTGACTTCAGGTTTATGTTTATTAATGTTAAACTTTAAAGCGAATAAGACCTATTTACACACTGATCAAGAAGTATTGCAACTTTTTCCTATCCCGTAAACATTTACACGGAACACAAATAACACAATCTTTAACAAAGAATACATTACGTAGTCACAATTGCAAATGCCTATTAACAATGCTATATAGTCCAACCTTCATTCAACACAATAAAAAAAACACAATATCAAATTTAAACATACAACACAATATCATAACATAAACCCTTTAAAACATATTGTTACGCCTCCAGTCGTTAGTTAATTTTCCGTAAATTCTTTCCGACTAAACTTTAGAGACACAAGTCCTTTCTTAAATAAAACTGGTTTATTCTTTCCGAATACAACTTTACGATACACTTAATTTCAACAGTCGCTCTATAACAAACGCTATAACTCACGTCTCTCGTGGCCAACAATATTCTGTCTGCATACATTCAATTACTCATTACCTCCCCGTCGCTTCGTGGCCGGTCTTATATATACAAGACTACGCTATATCTAGAAGGATCACGAGATTTAAGGAAAAGACGTGAATGTTCGAGAATGACGTGGCGTAATTCTAGTCACGTGACCTCGATGTCGTAACAATATCTATTTCGCGACAACTTATGCCAGTTCAGAATTACAAAATATGACATATTATCCCCCCAAAATGTAATGGACTCCTCACCACATGAACATATATTCATATCAAATAAAACCCTTACCAAACCTAAACATGTATTTCGGGAATTAAATATATTACATTTAAAAAATAAGAAACTGCAGGGATACATATATATACATACAGTTTTTAAATGAAGAAAAATCAAATAAAACTATATAAAATATACACCTACCTCAGCAGCAGCAATGAGATCCTACTACGATCATTTTCACCTTAACCCTGTCAACAGATCATATAAAGCGACAATGGATCACTAACTGGCCACTGTGGTGTCTCTGGTGATCTCCTAGAGCTGGGGTAGCTTGTCTGGTCAGGATAAGGTCTGTCTTCAGCTAAAACACTTTTTTCTTGTAACCAAGATACTGGTTTTGAGCTTTGCCACAGCCAGCCCCTTCTCAGTTGTGCATGGCCCAGGCCTCAATCCATTTTCCAGCCATCTCCTGACAGTGTTTCTTTAGTAGCTGAATTTGCTGCACCTTGTAGATAATGGTGATGGTAGTACGTAGGTTTATTAGAATATTTACTCTTGTCAGTCATTGAGATAGTTTAAAATGCCTCTTGGTTTATTGTTGCTTTACTACTGTTGGTATGACATCCCATGCTTCATCTTGGCATTAGTCTGGGATCCATGGTTGATATTTGATTAACTGTCAAAGACGACGCCCCTTCATTGAGTCTGAAGGTTTATTTTAAACATTGGTATTAGTGGTGGACAAGCAGATGCCAAGGCGTAAATAGTTGGTGTGCTCCTGGCAATGGTGGTACTTCTACCACTGGCTGTGGGGCCAACAATAGCTCGGGCACTATTGTAGTTAGTGCAACCCAAATGTTGGTGGAATCCTCATTCACCCTTTCCTGACATCTGGTTGCCTTTTGAGATGGCTTTTGCTCTAGGAAGGCATTTTTGGGCTTCATGATGTAGTGGTGTCTTCCGGTGGCAGTCATTCCTACTTTACCAAAGTGGTGATGGGGCTGATGACTGTAACTGAACTTCTTGCAGATTTCGCTTGATAGACATAACGGTGGCGGGGGTTTGTAATGGTTTCTCCAACATGGTGATGACTTGACTTCCAATAGGGGATTGGAAACCTATTGGGGTTGCCTACCCCATGACAGTCCCGACAAGATTCCTAATTCAGATGTGTTGGTGACAGTACAACTTTATCTTTTGGCTCTGTTGGGTTGATAGTCTGGTCAAATACAAGAGTTTCAGGATCGGTTGGAAAGTCTGTCCTCTTGCGAAACAGGAAATTCTGTGTTTAGTGCACATGTTTTCCATCGTACATTTCAAAAACAACTTAAGAGGTTGAAACAAACATCCTGGTTAGTTGGAAAACAAGATAGCCAAAAGGGCTAATAATTTGAACTTAAGTAGCAAAAGACAGGATTGAAAATATAAGATAAGATAAATTTTGATTGGTCAGCTAGGTGTGTAGGTTATAAAGAGGGTCTTAGCTGTCTTGCTACAACTTTACTCTTCTCTAAATCTACCTTTAGAGTCATAATATTAAACTATTACCTTGCTAAAATGACATTTCTACAGGCCTCACTAGTGCGCATGCCTAATTTGCCTATATATATTTCCCTAATACCTGTGGACTTTCCTAGCCCCAACAATCTTCACTGGGTCTCTGTTTGACAAATACCTAATGGCTTAGTTGCCCCTTTTGCTATTCTTATAACAATGAACAACACAACTCACTATTGGAAGACAGAGTGCTTTATCCTACTGTTTTGTTGTTACATAAACATAACTCATGTCCTGTAGGAAAGGGATGGAATCAAGACTACAAAAGTGGTTTTTACTCGAGTTAGTTGTTGTACAAGTGCCAACCTTTAATTCTGACTGTTATAATTCACTAACCTTTACATTGTCTCTCATTGGGATTTTCCTTCCAGATGAAAATTTAGTACTAACTAAATATGACTTACAGAGTTTCACCACACAGCTTTATTGCTTTCCACCTTTGACAACAGGCTTACAACATGCATTTTCATGCATCTTTATCTGCACCTTGTACTGAAACAATCTTATGAAATATTCACAAAACTGTACTTTTAAGACATTTTAATTTGCATGATTGGAAATATTCTTACAATAATTAAATGAATTACTGGGTATATAACAAGTTTCATTTGATATGATATTTAAGCCTAGTGTCGACGAATTTGCTTTAAAATTGATATTTTCACTCACATGAATATTTCAGTTAAATCCAATAAAAATATCTGGCATTATTCTTAATATAAAACACCAGGTTTAATGGTGTTTTCTCTCAGACTTAGTGTGAGTCTTTTGTTGCTGATATACTTGCATGAAAATTCACTACCCACCAAAGATTTCAATTCTCTCACAGGAATCAATAAAAATAACTGGTGCATTTTGTCTTACATGATAGTAATCAAAGTTAACCTTATATCATAAGGCCATAACATCTAGATCAGATTCTTTATTTACATTCATATGCTGCTTAGTTAGTAGTTGTGTTTTTGAGCAGTTAATCTTTTTGTGTTGTGCAGCACTCATGAATGACTTTACGTAATGCTCATACACTTGTGCAATATAACACATATATATCTATTTATACATTTATATTGCCATATATCAATATTACACATCATCACATATACCTGTAGCTTATAACAGACTGCATCCAATTCACGCACAATTTCTTTGGTAAGTTTTGGGTTACCTAGAAGAGCTAATCTTGGTAACTGCAGTCCCCTACTGTCATCTATGAGCTGCCAAACTGAACATATATTTTTCAGGTATTATGAAATAAATAATCAACAGCAGAATTCAGCTAAGTTGAGACTTTTACGCAACACTTCTTCGAGTTAGAATTCATATGTGTGCTGTTGCTACAGTATGTATCAATATACACTGAGACAAAACACAACTCCCTCACTTAATGAAGAAAACTTATATGGGAAAAATCCAGTGAGTACTATATGGTATTCTTATAGAGTTCTCATCACTCAGCTAGATCAAGTGAGTGATTTTCAAAAAAAAAAGTTAGATGACGTTTCACCACAGAAAAATACCCCATTAGATTGGAAAGCAAAAGTTGCAATTTCCCCTTTTTTAAATGTCCATTTTCCCACAGAAAATCGCTCATTAGCTTGGAAAGCAAGAGTTGCAACATTCTTTCTAGTTAGTTTTCAAACTCTTAGCTGTTAACTTCAGTTGTGCAAACTATAAGTGAACTGGCAAGTTACTT